CGAATTATTCGTTATACATTCCGCATAATTCGTTATAGCGTTAACGAAGATTCTTATAACGAAGTCCTGATCAGCTGGATTGGCAACTTTGTTATATCGAGGTGTGACTGTATTGTATATCTGATATATTTTTCATCATCTTATTTTAGCTGCATTCATAATCTAGAATTTCACAAATATTTACATGGATTAAGTCTACGCAATCTTATTATTAGTCTTCATTTTATCATTAAATTAAAATATTTTTCTAAATTGACAATTAAAATGCTAATTAATTATTCTGATGGTATATTTTAAATATTTAAAATTTAATTTAATTTAAATTTAAATTGGCTGATCTATTCAACTTTTAATTTTATCACTAATCATCCAAATCAAATGTAAATAAAGTAATGTTTCTTATTATTAAAAAAGTAATTTACTATATATTTTAAGTTTTTTTTTAATAAAAATCAATTAGATTTCTTTATTATATATTCAATTAATTTATTAGACATTGTGGATATATGTCTAATTAAATGTCTAATTGGGTGTCCAAATGACTAATTAGATAAATGATTCAATATTACTTATAAGGGATAAGCAATATGATAATTTTAAATGATAAGCAAAGAATAATTTTGTAATTAATTTTAAAAGAGTATTAATTAGTAGATAATTTATTTAATAATAATAATAAATAAGTATTATTTCAGTTTGTACTCTTTACTTTTAAGGAAATTAAGATAAATTATTTAAAGAAAATTATTTTTGAAACACATTATTATGCTAAAGAATTCTATTTATATTTATATAAAATTAATTATATAGAGTTATTAAAGTAATAAAAATAATAAATAAGATAAACATAATATAAATAAATTAATAATATAAGAAAAGAAAAGAAATAAAAATGATATATTTAATAGAAGAAATAAATATTATAAATGACATAGAAAATATATAAGACATAAATAATTTCTTAGTGATTATTGTTATCTTTTTTAATTTTTATCATTTAAGTTTTCTTTTATGTAATAATATTAAATTGATATTATTTTTTAAATTTATAAAAATATAAATTAAGTATAAATAAAAATTATTAATTATTTGTATATTATAAGTTTAATTAAAATTTTAGATTTTTTTAAAATAATTAGATTAAAATAAGTAGAATTTATATTATTTATAAGGTATAATTATTTTATTAAAAAGTATGAAGAAATTAAAATAAATGATGTAATTTATTATTTTTTACTAATATAGATAAATAAAATCAATTTGTAAAGTTATTAATTTATATTAGAATCTAAATTTAAAAAATTATTATTTTAAAAAAATAAGCTAATTTATATTATTTTAATAATGAAAATATTTTAATATATAAAAAGACTTCATATACTATACTTAGACTATAAATTAGATTTATTATTTTAAAGTATTTTTTTATACTAAAGATCTTAAAAGATAATTAAAATACTAAAGTTAAAATATATTAGCATTTGTAACAAAAAGAATAAAAATTGCAAAAAAAATATTTTACTTTATATGATTTTTTTGTTAAATTTAACATTTACTCAAATTTTTATATAATACTCATATATAAAAATATGAAAAATTAGTTATAATATGAAATATTAAAAAAATTATTAATTTTATTATTATGAATTATTTTACAATAAGAAGGATTATGTTAAAAAACATAATGGTAAATATTAAAAAAAAATTGGTTAAATCAAATATATTATATATAAATTCATATCTATATTATTATATAATTATTATATAATTGGTAATATTTAAACTATTTTATTATTTTGTAAAAACAAATGCATTAGTTAATGCTAAAGAGCAGTGACATGTGTATTTTATATACAAAATTTGATTGGAAGCTTTCAATCCAAATTAATTTATTAGAGATTTATACTTCCAACCCTTTCAAAGAGTACTTTCCAGAATGCTTCCAAATGCATATCACTGCTAAAGAGGTTTTAAGAATTATATTTAAAAGTAGTATTTCATATGATTATGATTATTTGAGGTAGAATTATGATGAGAAGTTTAATAAGTAAATTAATTGGATTTTAGCTTAATGATAACTTTATAAAAAGGTTGATTTTCATATTAATATTTCATTTATTTGATAATAACGTATAATATGTATTTTATTATAATTAATACCTGCATAAAATCATAAATAATCATTTAAAATTAATTAAATAAATCATTATTTAATAATTTTTCATGAAATTGGAAATCCATTACTTTGTCTAGGCATTGGTCATCAATCAGGTACGAAGTTACTTCCAAAAACCAAACTAAGTAAAGCATCGAGTGTGTTGATAACGGGTAAATTCCAACTGGGGGAATTATTTAGTTACGGCATTATACTCACTCTATTAATCTGGAGGAAAATTACGGTCCAAAGGAAGTGGATAGTGCTATAAGATTTTAAATAACCAAGAATTACAAAATATTTATATTCTCACGATATTTTAAATTACGAATTCGATTTTTAGTGCGTAAAAAAATAATCTTGGATATAAAGCATGTGAGTAATCTTTTATTAAACTTGAATTATTGATAGATGATATAAAAATCTAAACATAATTACATGATCAGTTATTATTGCCAATTTCACTTGATCTCGATCGAAATCCTATAGATAAACATGTTAATAAAAGTGTATCTTTAAAACAAGTTAAATGAATATTATTTGCGTTCAGTAATAAATAAAATATTTTTCTTTCATAATAATCAGAATTAGCATGGTAAAGTATACATCATAACGCAACATAATAATTATTTATATCATAGAAACAACGCTAACCTTTAGCCAGTGAATCTGGAACCAAATTCATCAGTCAAATAAAAACCTGGATTCCTTAGAATAGAAGATAAACAAAACAAAAAATCATATTTTCCAGAAAATAAAAATTTTACCAAGGAAATAATAACTAACTGAGGAAGACTTCTAAATATCTGTTTGATAAATAAATCATCATCCGTTAGATAAAAGTTGTTTATTTGTTTGAGGGTTTAGGGGCTTAAAAAAAATATGGAAGTGGGAGATTATTTAAAGATTCTAACAAGTTTTATACATGTTAATCATGTGACTAAATGCTATTTGATGATTATCATTACATAATCAGTTTTTTTTTTTTTAAAATGTGCGGATTTTTTTTCAATTTGTTAAAAATTATTTAATTTTTGGTCAACGAGGTTGTAACGTGTCGTTCACTTTTCAATCAAAGTTAATCGTGTTCTACATTATTATTATTTTTTTTTTTTTTCGCAATCCTCATTACTTTATTTCTTACGAACATGGCATATCAATATGAACAATATCAACAACAGCCACCTTACGGAGGCAGTGCAGAAAATAAAACAACACTATGGTAACTTTAATTGGGTGTTTTTCACTTTAAAAAGTAACGTAACCTTACAAGCCTTTATCAATAGGATGGGCGAGCTTGAGCCGTGGATGGACGAAAGTTACATAAGACAGATCTGGTACCAGCTTGGCGAAAACGTGAATGTAAAATTCATTAGAGATAAGTTCACAGGGTAAGAACGATCTTAAGAGATTTGATTACTTTTACATGGTTCTTAATAATCATAAAAATTTATTTTTTTATAACAGAGCGAATGCTGGTTACTGCTTTGTGGATTTCGTAAGTAATGCTGCCGCGGTCAAAGCCTTAAATACAGTAAATGGGACACCAATTCCCGGTACCAATCGATTATTTAAATTGAATTGGGCATCTGGAGGCGGATTAACTGATAGAAAGTAATGCATCTTAACATTTTATTGTAAAAATTTCGATTTTATTTCGATCGTATGTGTTGATTTGTCACTTTTATTTTTTTTCCTAATTATGGAGTAGGGATGATCGTGGTCCGGAATTTTCGATTTTTGTTGGTGATTTGGGACCAGAAGTAAATGAATGGATGTTGGTGGTATGTTAAATAACTTTTCACCATAATTATAGTTTGGTTCATTTGTATCTAATTAAATAATTTACTTATTGTAGTCCGTTTTTCAACAACGGTATACCACTTGTAAATCTGCTAAGATTATGACTGATCCTATGACTGGCATGTCACGCGGTAAGTTAAAAATCGAATTATTTAAACATATAATTAAGGTGTCACTTATGTTTATTGATTTATTTATTTTTTTATATTTATTATTTTGGATAGGATACGGGTTTGTTAGGTTTGGTGAAGAATCTGAACAACAGCGTGCTCTTGTAGAGATGCAAGGTGCGTTCTGTGGTAATCGACAAATGCGAATTTCCACAGCGACACCGAAAAACAAAATTGGCCTTCAAGGAAATTACTATCAGCAGCCTTCCCAACAAAACCCCGTCTTAAACCAATATAACGATCCGAATAATACTACCGTTTTTGTCGGCGGACTATCCGGCGTGAATAGCGAAGAAGAATTGAGAAGGTACATATGGATCTTTGAAATCATTTTCCCTTTTTAAATTACCTTACTTTGATAAATATTAATCTTTGAATCGTTTATGTAACCACCTATAGCTACTTTCAAGGTTTTGGAGAAATTACTTATGTAAAAATACCACCTGGTAAAGGTTGTGGTTTTGTGCAATTTGTTCATAGACAGAGTGCCGAAATGGCAATTAACCAAATGCAACATTACCCAATTGGTATTTTTAATTTATTTAGAATTTTATAAGCGAAACTCAGTTTAAAAAATAATGATACTTCTTCAATTAATAGGAAACTCTAGAGTACGTTTGTCCTGGGGCAGATCTCAGACCGATAAAACTACTGTTGGTCCTTATCGGTAAGTATTTTTCTACGTCGTGTAAAACTTTATAATATTTTACCACGAGGAACTGACGTGTTGTGTTATTTATCGCGTAGCGGTCCTCAGCAAGCAAGCCCATATAATCCCCTCGGAGGTATGGCCACAACAACAGGTTATGGTGCCTATGCACCATCAACACCCGTCGCCACCACACCAGTAACGCCGGTTCAACCTTCAAGCTCAACGCCGTTGGTAGATTCCCTAGAACCGATCCCTGTTCAACGTATGAATGAAATCTTTATTTCCAGTAAGGAGGCAATAATTGATCGAATGGAGTCTGAATCCAATTGGATTGGAATTTATGCTCAGTAATTTAGAGTTCACAAAGCAAACAAAACAAAACAAAAAAAAAAGAAACAAAAAGTGTCACGTGATTGATTAATTGTAAAGAATTCAATTTTCTTTTATATAAATTTTCAAAATTTATACGATTACATTATAATTTTTAAAATTGATTCATTTCAAATCAATTTGGTAAATTCAAAGAATCTTTTATTAAATTCATAAGGGCTTTCAATTTGTCGATTAAAGAATTATCGTAAAACAATTTAATTAGGTTAGAAATAAATGACGAACCATTGGGAAGCATTGGATAATCTACTACACGTGGTATAGATGTTTTAAAGAACCGAATCCTATCGGTTGTAATCGATCTCATTAGACATAATGAGCGGAGTCCTTCTACGCCTCCGAATCTTTTTTTTTTTTTTATAAAAAAAAAAAAATTAATAAAAATAAATAAAAATTAATACATGAATTAATGAATCGTTTATATTGTTTTATATTGCTCAACAAATAAATCTCACCTCCCAAACCCGGAGATGCCAACTCCACCAAACGGTAAATTACAAAGATAAGTGGCACCGAAATCATTTACATTAACCATGCCACATCTTAATCTTCTAGCCATCCATTCACCTTTATTTTGATCGCCAGAGAAAACAGAATTACCCAACCCAAAAGGTGAACTGTTACATATTTCAATTGCCTCTTCATCTGTTGAAAATTTCATGACAATCATTATGGGTGCAAATAATTCTTGCTTTAAAATTGTCATATTTGGCGTTACATCAATTAAAAGAGTTGGTTCAAAGTATTGTGCAGTTGGATATTTTGGATGAGTAAATGGACGACCACCTAAAACCAATTTTGCTCCTTCCGACACCGAAGCTTGAATTAAATTTTGAAGTCGTTCTCCCTACGATTTAGACGAGTAAATACTTTGATTTGATCTTAATTAATCAGGACGATACCAGTTTTAAACAAACATTTCATACCTGACCACTCATAGTCATTGCACCAATATCTACAATATCATCATCATTCAAAATACTTCCAACTTTTAACTTTTTAATTTGTTCCGTAACCATAACCACAAATCCATCGTATAATGATTCATGAATTAGGATACGTTCCAATCCTACACAGTTTTGACCAGCGTTTTGGAAGGTACCACGCATGGTGATTGGAAGTGCTTGAGATAGGTTTGCATCATGCCTTATAATAGCGCAATCCTTGCCACCCAATTCTAAAATACAAGGTGTCAAATTATCCGATGCCGCCTTCATTACTTGTTTGCCAACTTCGCATGAACTGTAAAATAATAACTGTGTTAAATTTCTTTTTTTTTTTTTAAAAAAAATGAAAAATGAAAAATGAGGTGATATTATTAACCTTACCCGACAAAAGTTATTCCATCAACTCCACTTCTCACGACGGCTTCACCGAATTCCGGAAAACCACACAAGAATTGTACAATGTCAGGATCGTGACCACATTCCATCAAACAAGTCTTAATGATTTTACTATAAAATTGCATTGACCAAGCCACTTGCTCCGAAGATTTGATCAAGATTCCATTTCCAACGAACAACGATGAAATGATGGGACCAAACACGTTATGAAACCTAGGATCACCCGGTTACGACCTTGTAAGTAAACAACTACCTTTTTTTTTTTTTTATCAAAACATGAATAAAATCATGCTTACGGATAATTCCAAGATACCAAAGCCGTCACAACGCCAAGAGGTTGATATTCAATTTTGGCTAATTTATGTGGTAAAACGGGACTCGTTCCCCGATATTCGGTGGCTAATGCCTTTTCTCCATGTTTGATGATCCATCGTATCTTTTCACATGTTACCAAGATTTCTCCAAATTTCCCGTCAACGACTAAAAAAATTCAAAAAAAAAAGAGGTCATGTTACATATAATAAACTGTCGTTTTTTTTTTTTTTAAAAAAAAAAAAAAAAAAAAAGTTGAGACGTACGCGTTTTCCCGGTATCTCTACTTGAGACCCAACAAATTTCCTCTTGATTTTTGATAATGAAATTCAATAGACTATAAAGTACCCTTTTCCTTTCAGAAAATGTGGTCTTGACCCAATTTTGTTGTGCATCACGAGCCTTCTTTAATGCCTCTTTAACATCATCTTTGGTGTGTGCTCGAATCGTATCCAACAATTGTCCTGTTGCTGGGTCATAGCACGTGATGTAACCGGGATTCGATGCATCCTTGAAAAAAAAAAAAAAAAAAAAAAAGGGCATTTATAAAATGTAAATAACTGTATATCTACGATTATTAAAAAAATGTGACTTTACTTTTAAACAGGGTTTATCCAAAATTTTGCCCCCATTCCAACCCGGTTTGGCCTCTATATAGCAAAATGAAGTATCGAAAAATTTATATAAAGATTAAATAATTTGCTTGATCAATTCGAAAATAAAAAAAAAATTTTCATCTAGAAAATTACCGATAGGGACTTCGACAACGAATTTCACGACTTCATTTCTGAATAACAAAAATTTGATGATAATTATCGATGAAACACCCACAATAATTGCGATAACCTGATCCAAACGTAATAAGGATAAATTTTCGATCATGTCTAAACGCAAAGGATTATTGATTATTAATTACAAAAGTTTTGAAACGCAAACACGAAACAAAATCATTAATAATCCAAAATCATTGTTGATCCACTAACTTTTTTTATCAAAAAAACCATTACATTCTGATAATAAATTGAGATAGTCAAAATTTTTTTTTTTTACTCTTTAAAATAGGAAAATTTCCTTAAATAAGGTAACATATTTTTAAAAAGGTAACGTTACATTAATTAGTACTATTAGCACGTTTTTTCATTTTGTATTTTTTTAATTATATAATAATTAACCATTCAAATTCAGTAAGATAGTAACGAAAATTTTTTTCTTTACGTAAATCTATCGGCTAATTGTCAAATCCAACGATTCATTTCTAATAAGTTTTTAACGGATTCACTTCTATATTAGTTTTCATAGTTCTCTTTTTAATTTTCTGACTAAAAAAAAAAAAAAAATGAAGAAAATGAAAAGAAATAAAGAAAAGAAAAGGGAAACAAAAAGATAAAAAATTTATATATATATATTAATTACATTAAAATATTTTTAATAATTTTTTACATTTAAAAATAAAAAAATTTCTTAATTAAAATTATAAAACCAAATCTCTTAAATTTTGAGTCAATATAATATCTAAAGATACAATCTTTATGTTAGTAATGTGAAAAAGAAATGACTATTTAACGTTTAAGAAAGGTAAAATACCTGTGACACTGCGCATTATGTGGCGTAACAAATTTGTGTCTGTCGCATTTGTGAAATGAGGATAAATTTCTTTTATAACACTACGATTCAAACGTTGAAACTTTCGTTTAAAATAATGAGTCACTTGTTTAAAATCTTCATCCGGACCTATTTTCGGTTCAAGCATGAGTTTAACATGGGTTCAACATTTACATATTTTTCACAGAAATGATCCAAGTTTCTAGTTTTTTTTACCTGTATAATCGGGAAAGTATTTTTTAACGGAAGAATTCTTGATTTTCTCCCGAAATATATCAATTTTATTTAGAAATAAAATCATTGATGTATTCACAAACCATTGCGAATTACAAATCGAATCAAATAACATTAAGGCTTCCTGCATTTGATTCGCATCCTTATCTTCCACCAAACATTGATCATAACCACTTATGGCTACGATGAATAATACAGCCGTAACATTTTCAAAGCAATGAATCCATTTCTTTCGTTCGGACCGTTGGCCGCCTACGTCAAACATTCTATAACATCGGAGGGTATATGTCAAATTCTGGGATCCATTAGTTAATCACGAACGTAGTAAATATTTGTTACCTGTATGTTAGTGGACTTAATTGGAACACAGTTTCAACAATTCCCGTTGTTTTCATTCTACAACGTAGAATATCTTGGTCTGTAGGGATATATGTTTTTGAAAACAATCTTTCTAATGATTCAAAAAAACTAAATTAAAGTTTAAAAAAAAAAAATGTCTTAATGATTGCTTATAAAAGATTACAATTCACGAGAGTCTTAAAAAAAACCGAGGCACTCACTAACTCATGTTATCTTGTAATGCGTATTGATGACCTTTCTCATAACAGCTTTGCACACCAGAATCCGCCCATAATGTTGCCAATGGATTCAAGTATTGAATCGGAAATGGACGACCTTTAACGATACTCGGTGATGGGTTATGAAATAACGATAAATATTGCTACGTGCAACAAGAATCATCACGTTGTTTAGTAAAGGAGATTTAATCAATTAATATTTAATGAATGTTATTTACCGAATTTTCGCTATCGCTAAAGGGTATCTTAAAATATTCCATCGACTCAAGTATTAAGCTCATTGATTCCGTGATATTTGTGAATACGATTGACCGGTATGTCTCTCTCTCCGTGTTTGTGAATCCCGCAGCATGAATCAATCGCATCTGTTTCAAGATTGTACTCTTACCGGATTCTCCAGCACCTGAGAGAGAAAAAAAAAAAGAAGATAAATCAAATTTTTTTTTTTTAAAAAAAAAAAAAATAAATAAATCAACAAAAGGAAAAAAATAAAAATAAAAAAAAAAAAGGTTACCCAATAAAAGTAACTTGACTTCGGTTTTTAATTTTTTCTCGTCTTCCTTAATTAATTTATTTATATTCCTATTTGAGACAACATAGGAGTTATCAGCTTGTTGCGACACACAGCTTCCCATTTTTTATGATATTCTTTTTTTTCTACTTTACGATTTCGAGAAATGAAAATAAAAATTTTTTTATCATTGATTTTTTATTATTTTTTATTATTTTCTTTGGCTAAAATGAATTTCTATATATAATTTATGTCTCTTTGATTGAAAAAAGATATTATTATTTCTTATGATAGGAGGACAATACTATAAATAATATATTAATATAAATTTACAAGAAATATTATTTTTAGAACATTTATTTATTATTCGATTTTTTGTTTTGATATTTAATAATTCGTTCGTCAGTTTCTCATCCTTTATTTTCATTTGTTTGATTTTGACAAAGAAAATAAAATTAATTTGTCGAGAAGGAGAGAAAAAAAAAATCATGAAAAGGAAAAGAAAGAAAAAAAGATTATGAATTTGATTGAATGGAAGGAAAGCAGAATGAGGGTGAATTATAAAGAAAATTATAATAATAGTATAAAAAAAAAAAAAAAAAAGATAGGGTATTTTGTTCAATGTGTTACAATTCATCAAAACTTCTTTTTTTGTTTACAACTTTATATATAGTGAATTGTAATAATGCAAAACCGGTAGATTGGTGCTACGATAAATAATGATTTCATTGCAAGTTTTAGGTTTTATGAGTTTATGTGGGATTCCTATTGTAATTCCGTTTCCAATCGTTTTTTTTTGAGGGGGAGCGCGTCGCATCTCGCAACTGGAAGGTTTCAAATGGAAGGAAAAATTCCTGAATTTGGTAGAGGGTTCAAGCGTTCATGTAGTGTGACACCCCGAGTAAATGTTCCAATACTTGTCCTTGAAGCACAGCTAACCACGCTAACTGAAAGTTACACCGATAATTGTCGTTTTATGGTAACTGTTTTTTACCTAATTATTCACAACGAAAAACACACAAAAGGAACCATTCAATTTAATATAACAATTGGTAAATTAAAAACGTGATAGTATAACATAGTAGAATGGAAAAAAAAAATGCAATATATGGTCATGATAATCCCAGTTAAATTAAAAATATTTGGTGGTAATTTTTAATAATCGTCAAATGATGCTCGAGGTGTCACCCCATTACGTAACCAAAGCTTGTTTTTTTGAGTCATTTTTTCGGATTTCCCTAATTTATTCAACCAAAAAAAGCACCTATTGTAAACCTCGGTCAATTAAATCATTAGCTCTGACTGGTTAGGAATTTGACGGGTTATCTAAACATCACTGATAATCAACTATTTTTTTGAGTAAAATGTCATGCGATACGAGAACGGCCCGATGAAATAAGTTCACCTTTCAGTGGACTTATTCAAAAAAAAACAGACCAAAAATGGAGCTGAGTGAATCCGAAATTGAAGAAAAAATACATCGGCAATTTCGTACTATATAAAGTAATTCCCTCAAACAACAATTATTTTTTATGCTTGCTGAACGTCAAAAAATATCATGCTGGAAGCCTGTATACCATATTTGATGCTGATAATCACAACCTCGAACTTTTCGAGACTAGTGACTGCTTTAATGGGAAATTGGTTGTGCGACGTCTCCTAATTCATGAGTTTTGTAGAAACATAGGTCCCGTCTATCGTAAGCTGGGTAAACAACTAACACGTTTGGTTTCTTTGAAAGTCTTCCACCTTTTTAAATTCGTTTAGCTCATTGTGGAAGAATTTTTAATGGTTAACTGCTCGGCCATGCATACTTTTAATGGGTAGTACAACTTGGCATGCTAGAGTTCACCGCGAAAAGAACCCTGAAAAAAAAAAATTTCACAACCTAAACCGCTCTCTTTAACTTGTCCATTGCTTTGATACAATAAATCATTTGATACGGACAAGATGTGTATTCCTTGAAAATCTGAACTAATTTCGTATGTTTTATTAGCTTTTAAATGTAACGCATTACAAATAATAATAATGCTCGTAAAGCAACCTTTGGTTGAACAAGTTAATTAACCCGTTTCTTTGAACCAAATAAAATTGGAATCATTCTCTTCTTGGTCTTTTTCTCCATGAAATATTTTCTCTTTCTCAGACCCTGTTGGTAAAAGTCGAAGATGGTGGTACCATCAAGAGGTTTCCTATAAACGTCAACTTTCCATCCATCTGGGATTTGATCCAATTGAACAATCTCGGGTACGCAGCTTTCCCCATCTCGTTTATACCGCACCATTATAGTACCCAAGTATAAAGTTTTAACAAAAAATGCATGGTCGTTCACGAATGGAATTTGGAATCCAAAGATACGTTTGTTTGAACTTCCGGTGGCGATGTTGAGAGCCAAGGCGCGTTGAAAGAATTGAAGCAAGTGCATTTGTTGGAGATCGATCTTCATTGGGAATTCTAAAACGGTGCTGTCATCGGTTACAAGGTTGGACGTACCACCTTTATTTTTTTCAATGATATTATTATCCCTCTTCGCACCGAATTTATCATTTTGAACCGCTTCGAATCCAACTTCTTCAAATATATCAAGGAAGAAACCTTCCGTTGAATCATATCCTTCAGTATCCACAAATTTCTCAATACAATCGAGTACAAACTTTCGCTTATTCTCATCGATTCCATTTTCGCTAGTTAGAAATTTGAAAAAGATAAGGAATGCTTTTTTATAGTCGTTTTCATATTGAACGACGGTTTTTTTGCTTGATGCTGTAAACATTTTGTTAAGGCGGAATCTCGTGAGAAAAAGATAAGCAGAAAAAAACATCATCCTTTTATCCTTACAAGCGATTGGTTGGGGTTTGGGTAATCCCAACCAATCAAAATGTAATATCAATGGAATTGTTGCGATATTACGTATCATTTATAATATGTGAAAAGGTTAATTTATTGATTTTACCCCCATAAAAAGATAATATAGATAGCCATTTAGTGATTGTGATTGAATTTCACACGTTTTCGTTTGATTAACTCGATTCACATATTGATATGAATAAATAAATAAATAATAAAGGAAATAAAAAAAAATATATAAAAACAATAAAGGAAATAAAAAATGGTTCCGGTGGTTATCGATTATCGATTTCACCACGTTTCACGGCCCGCAGCTATCGGCTCGGTAAATTAATTGCCACACTTTACTGCCGAACGTTAATGCTAACTTTATCTTCATTTTCTTCATTCAATAAATCTTTTTGATGGGATTTAAATATGCGAGCCATTCTTTGTTTATTCCAATGGTCTTCCCTTGCGATCAAATCAATTTCTGTTAATAAACTTTCCAACTCCTCTCTTAATCGTTTGTTTTGAAGTTTCAATTGATCAACTTTATCTTCATCGTATTCAATTAACCCAACGGCAAAGATACTAAGAGCTTTAATAAGCCTCCATAGACGAAATAAGATTAATAGTCCCGCAACTTCTCTTTGCTTTCCTGAAAGGAAGATTTCCAAGAAGAAAGTTGTGTAAATGATAACCGCATCAAAGAGATGCAATTGCCAATGATGTGACTTTATAAAGTAGTAATTTCCAAATATGAACAATTTTATCATCACTTCAAAAACAAAAATTGTATTTATGGTGAATGCAATAATTTCAAGCGTTTCAAATAATATATGTTCTTTTTCTTCGAATTCCGGCCATAAAAATGAGACAATTATCACTGACATGACAGCAATGAAATCCGCCACTACCAATCCGAGAATGACCCAATGAGCTCGACGAGATTCAAATGCATCCCCTAGCCAATCTCGAAATTTACAAATTCCTTCCTTGAAATTGATACGTGACGGTGAATAACCTCTGTCGACTGGTCTCGAACTTGAAGAATTCTCTGCCATAGGTGAAGGTAATGAAGTTCCGTAATTCATTCTTTTCATAATTTTTTTTTTTTTTTTTCCTTTTAGGTCACTGGCGTATATTTTATATATTTTTATATTATTTTTAATTAGCACTTTTTAGAAAATGATATCATAATTACAGATCAATTTCTTACGTAATTATTTGGCCAACATTACGGGCAAAAATATCACGAGATGATAATGCAAGATCTATTTCAACAACTTTAAACATTCATAGATGTTAACCGAGCAGCTAGCAACTCTCGATTCTTTAAGCACTTGATTTTACCTCCTGATACACTTTCGCATAATTTACGCTTTTCTTTGGTTATATTTTTTAAAACGATGTTACGTGCGACCACCTCAAAAATATTGTGCCGTGGAACCGCTCGTAATGTGATTTCACTCCACCGACTAGCAAATCCTAACCTTTCTGTTGGGCTGTTAAATAAAAGGGATCTTACTTTTCCGACCTCTCCTGACAAAGCTTCCGCCGTAGAGACAATGCCAATAGTTCAAACCCTTATAGCTCCCTCACCTGGTTTGGTTTGAGTCACATATTATACATACTTTTGATCAACTTTTTGTCAATTTCTAACGTTTTTATTATCTTTATTTGTATAGATTCTTTGGGTTTCAGCGAGTCAAAAGTCAAGAAAGGACATCGTCCTATTTATTTAGATATGCAGGCCACAACTCCTACAGATCCACGTGTCCTTGATGCAATGATGCCATATTTCACACAACAATACGGAAATCCACATTCAAGGACACATGCGTACGGTTGGGAGTCCGAAAAGGCTGTTGAGACGGCTCGTGAGGTACGTAGATCGCTCTTCCTTTTAATTCACAATCTTCCGTCTTACCTTAATAACAAAGATCCCTTCTATTATTGTAGCATGTGGCTGATATAATAGGAGCGGATGTAAAAGATATTGTTTTTACATCCGGTGCCACCGAATCAAATAATTTGAGTATCAAGGGAGTTGCAAGGTTTTATAAATCAAGCAAAAAACATATTATCACGACTAATATTGTAAACATCATCTTTTTTCTTTCCTTTTTTTTTTTTTTTTTTGTCACAACGTTTCTTCAAGTACGTTTAATGGTATAATTTTTTATTATATAGGAACATAAATGTGTGCTTGATTCGTGTCGTGTCTTGTCCGAAGAAGGATTTGATGTCACATACTTACCAGTTCAACCATCCGGCCTTATAGATTTGAATCAATTGGCCGAATCTATTCGACCAGATACATCACTCGTATCCATTATGACGGTAAACAACGAGATCGGAGTGACACAGCCAATGGAAGAAATTGGTAAGATTTGTCGCTCCAAGAAAGTATTTTTCCATACGGATGCTGCCCAAGCTGTCGGAAAGATTCCTTTGGACGTCAATAAAATGAATATTGATTTGATGAGTATCTCTGGACACAAGATTTATGGACCAAAGGGGGTTGGCGCCTTGTACAGTAGAAGAAAACCTAGAGTGAGGCTTGAAGCTTTACAAAGCGGTGGTGGGCAAGAGAGGGGATTGAGAAGTGGAACGGTACCTACACCGTTGGTGGCAGGATTGGGTGAAGCCTGTCGTATTGCCAAGGAAGAAATGCAAGTATGTGTTATTTAATTGTTTGCATATAAGTTTTCTGAATGATGAGAAACCGCTCAATTCGATAGAGAAACAATTTGTACCATTCTTAATGCATCGTACATGTTGTTTTTATGACGAATTTTTATGCAGGGGTTCTGATAAAAAGAAAAAAAAAAAAAACACCCCAACATCTGTTACTTAATATTGTCTATCTAACATAACCCTTTGTTTATTTCACAACTGCAAAGTATGATTCAGACCGTATCAAGTTACTTTCAAAGAGACTAATTGACGGTATTACGTCGCAAGTACAAAATGTAGTACGTAACGGTGACCCTACCTCATCCTATCCAGGTACAAAGGAAAATTAAAAGTATTACATGAAATTTATCACATTTATAACATTTGGAGTTAAAGACGCTAAGAAAATTTACAAATTCTTTTTTCAGGTTGTGTCAACCTTTCATTTGCATATATTGAAGGAGAGTCTCTTTTAATGGCACTTAAAGACATAGCGCTTTCGTCTGGTTCAGCATGTACTTCAGCTTCATTGGAACCTTCTTATGTATTACGTGCCCTAGGAGCAGATGATGATATGGCACATTCAAGTATTAGGTTCGGTATAGGTAGATTTACCACAGAGCAAGAAATTGATCTCGTAGTAGACAGAGTAGTAAGACATGTTGATAAACTACGGGAAATGTCTCCTCTTTGGGAGATGGTATGTGACAGATTTAAATTTCTTTTTAAAAAATAAAAAGAAACATAAGTTAGATCTAACGTTTTATTTTTTTTATAGGTTCAAGAAGGCATTGATCTCAAATCGATTCAATGGTCTCAGCATTAAACCAATTAATTTATTATTAATGTTGTTCGTTGGGAATATGTTATTTTGATTGAAAGTATGAAGGGAAATAATTTTTGGAACACGAATCTTTTTCTTCCTGAATATTATCTGAATCAATCAATTCGTATTTAGCATTTACGGTTGTATTATACATTTGATAATTATCATTTGTTTCAAGTTCATGTATGTTAATTATTAAATTAAATTCTAAATATATTATTATGATGATTTTTTTTTTTTTTTTTTTGTATTTTTTTTTTTTCATTAATAATGAATAAAATAAAAAAAAAATACTATTTACAAGAAAGAAATTAAAATAAATAAGATAGTAAGTACATATACAATGTATAAATAGTCGGAATACTTAAAAAAAAAAAAAAAAATTTTTTTTTTGATGTTACTGCAGAACTCGGAATTAATCCTCATTCTAACAGTGCATATGATATTCTAGAGTTAAATCTTAAAATATATGTTGCATATTTATGAGTGTTTTGCCATTAAAACCACATATGATTGATTATGGCTCATAATGATTTTATAGCAAAAGACCATAATTAACAATGATATATAAGTATTATTGAGTGTTGTTGTGTTGTGTATTATGTATGTTGTATAAAGGGTAAAAAAAAAAAGAAAAAAAAATAATTTACATGATTAAGATAAAATTCGAGCCCACCCCATTCCCCCAAAAATAAATATACAATAGATTAATCATCATATTTCTTTTTATAGATCCATGAATTCCCTAATATGCTAGCACCTTGAGCGGCAGCCGACCGGTAAAACTTTGCGGCTTTTTTCATATCTTTCTTAACACCTTCACCATTTGCATAACAGAAACCGATGTCATTTTGAGCATCCGGATCACCAAAACTGGCAGCAATTTCGAAATAATAGGCAGCGGTTTGCTTATTCTTTGGTACACCCCAGCCATGTCGAAAACAAACGCCTAGAAGAAAAAAAAAAAAATAAAGTTCAGGTTAGAATCGGGTTTACAAAGAGATATTTGTTTTTTTTTTGAAAAAAAAAAAGAGATTAGACGCATACCTAATTCATAAATAGCCAAAACTAACTCGTGACGAGCGATAGAAGGGTTTGCGGCCATAGTGGTATGCAAGTCATGAACGGCGGATTCCGCAGCTTTTTGCAGGAAACGTACGGCCAATTTAGGATTTGGCTTACAACCCCAGCCATGCCTTAAAGCAATACCATAAAGGAATAGACCGAGGGGACTATCCTTGTCGGCGGCCAATTTGAAGTAATAAGTGGCCTTCTCCAATTCATTCGCCTCATGATATTGTATGGCCTGTCGAATGAATTCATCCGCCTGATTTTGTCGCGTGGTAGGGGATGGTTGATCCACGGGAGTGAACGGGGGTATCGATATATTTATTGAGGGGATGTTTTTTTGCCTGTTGATGAGTTGTGACGATATTAAAGGATTACTTTGACGTTGATAATTAAATAATTCGGTATCAATCGGTGAACTTGTCGCGGTGGTCGGGGTCGGGGTCGTGTTATAACTTTGTGCATTATAACTTATCGGCGAATTCGCCGCTGAATGATAACGAAATTGTTGTTGAACACTTGTATCCAAATGTAATGCGCCGGCGCTTTTTGTTGATTTCTTATCCTGAGTCGAGTCTATTATTATGGGACCCGAATTCGAACGAAAGAATCTAGCATGTCTTGGAGATGATGTTTTTGTGGGTTCTGATGGGGAAGTTGATGCGTTTGAAAAAATGCGTTTGATTGATCTCATTATGAAGGATGTTATTGTTTTTGCTTTAAAAGAAAAAAAAAATTGAAAAGGGCAAAAAGAAATTGAAAGGTTTGAATGATATAAATACGATGGTTTTATGGTATTTATCTGTCAAGGAAAATTTCGTTCTTTGTTTTTTCAGAGTTATTATTTTAAAAAAACAAGGTAGAAAAGAAATAGTAAATATTTATTATTTATTTGAGAGGGGATAAGAAAAAAAAAAAAAAAAAAAAAAATTTTTTTTATTTTTAATGAAAATATCAAAATTTGATCAGTGATAGGAGATGCTAAAAAAAATCAGGACAGAAAAAGGTATTTTTATACGGAATTCAGACAATATAAAAAAATCAATGTCTTACAGTAACGTTATTTAATAATATGATAATAATAAAAAAAAATTTATTCTAAATTGTCGATCCTTACTCGTATTGATGATCGCGTGAACATAGAAAAGTATAAAAATAAATCGTACTTTATTTAATTAAATTATATAAATAATATATTTAAATATAAATAAATTACAAGCTAGTGCATACAATTTATGTCACAGTTAAATTAGACTATTAATAAAGTATATCGGTTTTTATTGTTCTTAATAGAAACATCTAGTCGATAATGTAAGGTTTTTTTTTCTTTATCAGGAGATTTTTCCTTTTTTGTTTTTGCCAAAAAATGTTAGGGTTAGAGTTAAACGTTGGTGTTAAAAAAACGATAAAATAATAAAAAAATTAAGAGGACCTCCCGTCAAACTTGTTTGTCAAATTATATATTTTAGGATTACCAACTATAAATACTTAAGAAGTATTAGATGTGTTAGGTTACATTGAATACCTATTTAATATTTTTAGGGAGAATGGTTATGATAAATTTGGTAATTCATTTTTCAAGCTCCTTTGTAAATCCTTAAAGATTTTTTCTTTGTAAGGTTTAAAATCCAAATATTAGGTTATAATTCATTTTCAATTACCTTATTCTTTTTATCACGTTCATGTAATTTAAAAAAAAAAGACAAGGATGAAAACGTGAACCTTAGTCATATTGGTTGTTGAAGACATATATTTGTATTCCAATTGTAGAAATAAAAGTATAATCGGTAAAACATTTTTGAAATTGCAAAAATGTAAAACAAAAGAAAGGTTTTATTTGTTATGTTTGATAACGTGATATAATTTTGGAAAACGAGAGTAAAAAAAATCCGGGAGAGTGACTCTGTTTAATCTCTGAAACGTCTTGCTATCCTGTTTACATCTGATACAATTCCCTTTTTCTTGTGTTCAGGACATCAATTCATGGGCGTTTTGCTCATCAAGATAAAATTTCTGAACCTGACTTACCTTTTTTTCTTTCCTCGTACACCAAAAATAGCGTAAATTGTGTAATTTTGGGATTAGATATGAATCCAAAAATGAACAAAAATTAAATGAATGAATTACTTCAAGGTACTTAAATGGAAATACCTAATTATAAATGCAAATAAATGTTGTGGCCGGACAAGTGAAAGAGTGAAAAAAGATTACAAGGATTGCACCGACAAATTTGACAAATGCTTATATTTATGACACAACAAGAGAGCTCTTCATTGTTCGAATTTTGATCATTTTTTTTAACGCCCATTCTTCTTGAAGTTTAGCGAAAGAAAACGCCAATTAAAAAAAAGTATCCAAGTTAATAACCAAAGCAAGTAATAAATAAGTTAATCAAAAAAAAAAAAAAAACTTACCAAATAACTCGTTAATGCATGTGCTGTCGCATTTTTTAAACATTAAAGGTCAATATTTGGTTAACATTAATAAATTGCGTTATTAATTAGTATTACAGCGGAAATACATTACGGTAAATGCAAAGTCAATCAAGTACCATCAAATCAAATCAAATCATGAGTATGCAAAATTGCAAATTCTTGAAACGTTTTAAAATTCTTCTGATTGAGATTGAGTTGTGTGGGATCCACCTTTTTTTTTATTTCCAATCGAATCAATCGAATACGAATAATTTCTCCGATAAAGAAATGATGTGTGGTTCCCATATTGATCGATAAGTGAAAGACCTAATCGCAAATAGTATTGAGGGCAGGTATTTAGCCAAATATGTTGTTTTATTTTTAATTCAAAGAGTATTCATATCCGATTTTCCTAAATTTAAATTTTTTTTTTTAATGCTATTATGCAACATTTTCATGATGTAAATCGATAATGTTTAAAAGAGAAACATTGACGCCATATTAACATTCTCGAATTCAAACAATATCAAAGGCTTGGATCACTAACGAAACAATACCTTGTTTGGCTTAAATCAACGCTTTCAAGTGCGAATTTTTTGGCGGGTAAAAATAAATCATTTGTGTTACATAAAAATTTAAAATTAGAAAACAAACCACAATATTCACGGAAAAAATTTTAAATCGGAACTTATTGGATTAACGTAATGCCGAAATATTACTTCGTAACGAATCTTGATTCGTGCATACGAAATAGCACCCAGCAGGAATGAGAGCAAGACCCGATGCAAAGTGGAACATTTAATAAATGTATCACATGAGATTTCTTGCTGGATGTGATGAGAATATTTTTTTTTTTTTTTACTTTATTCCATTTTATTCATTTTAACCTTTTTTTATTTTACTTTTTCCAAAATTAAATATTAATAATAATGATAAAAAAAATGATGAACGTTCTGAATACCGGCGTGAAATTAAATATGTCAAAAATGACCCCGCAATTTCATTCTACTGGTTATGCCAAGTTAATCCTAAATATTTACAAATGATTTCTTTGATTCCAAATTAGCTTGACAATTGTAGATAAAAGAACGCCTTAAACGTACGAATAAATGCCGGCGGAGAATTTTTTTATTGTTACGTGCGACATTATGGTTAGTTAACATTCGTCATTATTGTTGTTGACTTTCATTCGTTTTGTGATTAAATTGAATATATTAAATAATTCATCACATTTCCTTATTTGTCATGAAATCAAATTTCTTTCGCATTCGGATCAATCTTAAAAAAAGAATCATAATGAGATTAATGTGTCACAGGATTGTTAAAAAAGGTGTCCAAAGCAATGTGACGTAAATCTTTCAGATGCATTATATAATTCTCTTATTTGACCGGTCGTAACTTATTCAGCTGCGTAGTCGGAGGCTGGGCGGGATCTACAAGTGCGTGGACCCGCCTTTCGCCCTTACTCCTTTCTTCTCATCTTATTGTTACTTACTGTAATACTGGTGGGTTACGAAATACATCACCGTTTTTATTTTTAGCAGATTTTAGCCTCCGTGTATTGAGAAATTATTTACTTTTGATTAAAGATTTTGTGATCCAATTATCTGGTTACTTCTTCCATTGATGTTATTGATGTTGTAAATCTATCTGTATTTCTAAATCATTTGTCAATTCAAAACTCATGTACGAGATCATTTGCTCAATTTAAAAAACAATTGGAATGTTTATTACACAAGTATTTTTAATTAATTGAGAACATTCTCTTCACATTTTTTTGCTTGTTGGGGTGACGAACGTCCTCGATTTTTCCGGCTACAAATTAGTTATCCTGTATATACAAATAAACAAATTTAAACTTTGATGTAAACATACAACAAGCTAAGAGTTTATGGTTAAATATTTATTGATTACAGTTTAAGGAACCTAAGTTCGGCATGACGAAATAATCGCAAAAACTCAACGTCACCTCGTGCATTTTTAAAGGTGCCAAGTTTTAGCGATTAATGATAGCCTCCTGGCTGATAAAGCACGAAATCTCTAAATCAAGTCCTTGACACAAAGACCATCAACCTTTAAGAATTTCCTTTTTATAATTTTATATCTCCGTTATCATTTTCCCTTCAGATTGATTGAATGAACTTTTATTTAAAATCGCGCCGACCATAAATATTTGGATATCGAAATACAGAAAGGTTTGTTGAAAAAAAAAAAAACATTTACACCAGTAGTTTCTCTCAAGAATTTTCTTTACTTGAATGAAATCAAGTTTTAAAACCGGTCAACTAACGTTCACTATAATTACGGGAACATGTGGTTACACTTGCTATTGCCAACTTTCACTTATCCTAATCGTTTTTTGGTTTTATTAAATGTTGAAAAGATAAATAAATTAATTAATTCCAATAAGTGTTAATAATAGTCATATGATCATAAATATGTGACCCTTGATCGATCTCGCCAAAGATTATCATTAGGTTTGTGTTTCTTTCTGCATTTGCTTGTCCTATTAACCAATTCAAAATAACCTATGTTATTCAATCTTTCGACATGATCGACTTTAGTATGATTTAACTTATTTTATCATGCTTTTGGTGATACTGAAAATGATAACTAACAAAACTTCATATATTTAATTTAGTATCACGCTTTAATATTAATTTTTAATACTTTTTAATAATACTATTATTCGATTTATCTATAAAAAAACTTATTTTCTTTTTATTTTATTTTATCAATATGAAATTATCAGATTATGAATAATCATTTTTATCTTATTCAATCCAATTGTAATTAGAAAATTATTAAAATAGATTTAATAAGTGGATTAATGTTAAAATAAAAAAATTTATTTTTTTTAAAAATCGTGATTGATTAACTATAATTATTTTAATTTTAATTTTTTTTTAGAAATAAATCAATTAAATCAGAAACTTTCACTTTACAAAAAACCCATTTGTCAATTATTAATAAATAATTATTTAATTTACTATAAATTGTTAATAATAATATGTTTAGTTTTAGTTGATTTTTTTATTTAACTAAAAGTAATTATAGGTAAATCTAATTATATTAAAACACATAATTTTATTATAAAAAATAAACATTCATCTTAATAATTGAATTAAATATAATAAATTTAATTAATATTTTAATTTTAATTTTATTATTAAATTGATATTACCTAAGCAAAATTTTTTAAATTTAGAATTAAATTAAATTATTAGATTTACTTTTAATTTAAGTTATTTAATTTCAAATAAATAAATTTTCAAGACTA